TAAAATCTTAAAAAAAAAAAAAAAAACTTCCCTGATTGACATTTCACATGTGTTGCTAGGGGTATTAAGCAAATCTGGTGTGACTGCATTGGTAGTAGAAACTTGGCCTTAATTTCCCCTAAACTTTGGCTGATTTAACCCTGTATCCTTTTGCTTTAATGAATTATAGTTGAGTATCACTGAATATTAGGTCCTGTGGGTCCTCCTAGTGAGTCATCACACCTGGGGGTGGGTTGGGGACTCTCAACATGGTACTCTACTGATAGTAATTCAGAGGACATCTGAGAACCATGTGTTGTTGGTATTTACATCATTTGTGGATAATAGGGCTCAACCTCACAATTCTTTCAGAAACAATGCTGGTAGTAGGACTCAAATATTCTTTCCCAGTGTATTCTGTAAAACACTCTCTTCAAGTCATCCAAAGAATTGTAGGTCATGGGCTCTCTACCTCTTTTCAAATTTAAAGGTTAGTTCTTTAATTTACTTTCTTTCCTTAAAGAAACTTTCTCTTAATCCCCATTGATTAGCACTGTGCCCAGTTTAATAAATGTTGGATTTAATTGAAGAGGTCTCCAGCGGAACATGAAGACTTTGATCTTTCCCAGCCCTGTCCCAGCCCTGCCTCCCTGTGGTGTCTACACCCATACGCCCTGTTCCCTGACACACACCCTGTGAACTGTGCCAGGGCTGTTACAGGACTCCAAATACCGGTGTCTGCGTCGTTCATTTTTACAAAACAAGAAGAAATTTCATCTTCAGGATTTTGTGTGTTGCTAAGTGCTGTTGACTCATAGGATAACTGATGTGTAGATCTGACCACATTTAGTAATAGTGATTTTCAGTATTTATTATATGACAGAGTCTGAATCTAAACTCAAAATAATGTGTAATAATGGACTTAATAAATTGAAATGCAGAGTATGCATATGCCGAATGAATTGACCATGCTGTATGAAAAAAGTTCAAAATAAGAAAAGTATTCTCCAGTTTTGGTTCCCTCAATCTTGTCCACCTTTCACATGTACCCAACAAATTGTAAATTACTTTTTCCCTTCCCTTTGAAGGGGTTGCCATACCAATTTGTGATATCAGCATTACAACTGGCTGCGGTTTAAACAGGTAGAACAGATTCTGCCATTAAGTTTTAGGGTGCTCTAGGCTCATGGTTACTGGAAGCCACAAGTTCATATAAGTACACGATGGGATGGACAGCTGCTTTTGTAAATCTGTCTCAGGTAAGGAAAGATCAGGAGGAATTGTGCAGATAACTCAAGGCAAGAACCCACACTTTCTTAACCTGTATTGGCCTCCATTTTAAACCATCATGAACTAACTGCCAAGTTCCTGCATTTTTGAAGTTCTAGAAGTTATTTTTTAAATACAAGGGGTTTATATAAGAGAACACTAAAATGTACTTATTTACTTGCAATGAAACTAACTTCTTGCCTAGTCTTCTGACAAAATCTGTATTGTATATCTAGCAAATGCATGATTAAGATGTAAAAATTAACCAGCAGCAAAGTGAAAATTTTCTCTAGGAAACTTTCTAGAAAAAAGAAATTAAATTCAAATATCTTAATAGATTTTTCTTTTTTTTTTTTTTTAAGAGCATGAGCAGGGAGGAGCAGAGGGAGAGGGAGAGAGAGAGAATCTCTTAAGTGGGTTTCATGCCTAGCACAGAGCCTGATGCGGGGCTTGCTCTCACAATCCTGAGATCATGTTCTAAGTCAAAATCAAGAGTTGAGACGCTAACCAGCTGAGCCACCCAGGTGCCCCTTAGTAGATCACTTTTGAGACTAAGACGGTATCAAGGACTAGAGAAACTACCCAAGGATCTTCTTCCTTGGGTGTGGGTGGCAGCGCAGTTCTAGATTTAATCTAACATGTAGAATGTATAGCTAGTTAGGACACAATATGGGAATCCATTACAGCAGACTTTTTCAAAGGATATGTGTGTCAGACCAGCATGATCCTCAAAGTATGGGAAGTGGAATGATTTGGTCCAGAAATATTAGTCATTGGTCTATAAATAGATGATTATAGAAATTGAACATATTTACAACTTCCGTGGCAACTTGACATAGCATGGCATCCAAATGTGTAGTAATTTTCCTAGTAAGTCATTGTACTGTATTTTACAGAAGTAATAGTCTGTCATAGATCAGACTCCGCCCCCCCCACCATAACCCTTCACCACAAATAGCTTAAGTACGTTGGTTAAAAATCCAGCTTCCTGGACCCCAACATAAACCAGTGGAATCCAAATCTCTGAAAATGGGGACTGGTCCCAGGAATGGACATTTAGCAAGCTGCCCCAGTCATTCATCATGCCAAAGTTTGAGAACTGCTTTAGGAGGCAGGCCAATAATGTGGCTAATACATTTCCTAAGTATAAGGTTAACTTTTGAAAGCCATCCACTCTAAGGACCAGAGTTGCAAAGGTGACAGCTCATACACGTTTGACTTCAGGGAGGAGGCTGTGTTGTTGGCCCACAACACACCACAGCTAACAGGGCCCTGTGGTTTCTAGGTACAGTTCCATTGCTAGTTTTTGAGATACCTTTGTGCAAGACACCATCAAAGCTTCTTCACTGCAGGAAAGTGGTTTTATTAATTGTACTAATGGAAAGCATCTAGGTATATGAGGGATGTCTAGGATCCTTTGATGTGGTTCCTTCTGCACAGCTGGTAGGGCCCCACGCCATGCCCAGGGGAGGGCGATGTAGTACAAGACCTTGTTCCATAGCTCCTGATCAGAAAACACTGATGCCTGCCTCAGCTCTGTAGACACAGGCCCTGTGACACTCATCAGGAGAGAACATACACATCAGAGGAGTTCTTGTTTGTTTCAGGTGTAAAGTAACCAGGATCAAAGGGGGAGTTTAATGCTCCCTGGGCACATGGCTTTCTCATTCACCATGTCAATCAATAGACCAGTTTATAAGGAGGAAGGAAAAAAATATTTCTAGAGCAGTAATTGCTCATCAGAAGGGAGAGACTTCTTTGTCGCCTGTGCTGCATGTTCAGCAGCTGCTGATACCCACTCTCCTCAGTGACTTCAGGAGGGAGGTGCTGCTCCTTGGCTCCCCCTGAATCATTGTCACTCACTCAGCCATCCCAAGGAAGGGGCCACAACCTAGCAGTAGGGCAACCCATGAAGAGGAGGAGGAAATGGGTTGTGGGAGGAAAAGGAAAGAAACAGAACAGTAACTTGAAGTTTTGTTTTGTTTTGTTTTCATTTCATTTTATTTTATTTCTTGTCAGTGTTCCAGAATCCATCGTTTATGCACCACACCCAGTGCTTCATGCCATATGTACCCTCCATAATACCCTCCATCAGGCTCACCCAACGCCCCATCCCCACCCCTCCAAAAACCTCAGTTTGTTTCTCAGAGTCCACAGTCTCTCATGGTTCATCTCCCCCTCCAATTTCCCCAAATTCTCTTCTCCTCTTCTTCTCCCAATGTCCTCCATATTATTCCTTATGCTCCACAAGTAAGTGAAACCATATGATAATTGACTCTCTCTCTTTGACTTATCTGACTCAGCATAATCTCCTCCAGTCCTGTCTATGTTGATGCAAAAGTTGGGTATTCATCCTTTCTGATGAAGGCATAATACTCCTTGTATACATGGACCAGATCTTCCTTATCCATTCGTCCATTGAAGGGCATCTTGGTTCTTTCCACAGTTTGGCGATTGTGGCCATTGTTGCTATGAACCTTGGGGTACATCTGGCCCTTCTTTTCACTACATCAGTATGTTTGGGGTAAATACCCAGTAGTGCAGTTGCAGGGTCATAGAGTAGCTCTATTTTTAATTGTTTTGACAGAGCTCTTGAGGACATTTTTGCTTCTTAGAATTTGAACTGATTCTCTGTTAGGAATCGGTTTTATTCTCAGCCACAATCCTGTGTCCTGGCTCTCAAGTCACACCTTTAAAGGCTTCTAAACAGGATGCCATTGTCATCTGTGGACCAGCACTCTTTCTCCCGCTTCTCTTCCTCCCCTTGTCTGCCAGGCAGCCTGGGAGGTTCTGGCTCACCTCCTTGAGGAGTTCCTCCAGACCCCGACAAAATTCAGCCCCTTCTCTCTCCTCTCCCTGTGGCCCTTATGCATGACATTCTCTGATTGTGAGAATTGTCATAGTTGATTAATAAGAAATACGATTGTCCCCTGCAGATAGATGTTGCCATTTAACAGGAACTAACCATTGTGACTATGTTTTTTTCATAAGAAAGGATTGCTCTTTCATAAAAGGGATAAATATATATATCCCTTATATATATATAAGTTTAAAGGATATTAACAAAGATGGTGGTGGTGCTGGGGAAAAAGAAAGCCTTTTAGCCTGTCTAGATCAAGAACTAGATTTGCCCAGGGAGGATAAAGTTTGATAGCTCTCTATTTAAAACATTAAACAAGAAATAAAGAAATTAAAGCGACTTTAGTACTGACAGATGCAGGGAGAGAAATAATTTTGGTAATAGGAATCTTCAACTCTGCATCCCCAATTCCATCTCTTTCTTTTCAAACAACTATCTGAGAATCAGTTACAATCAAGCAACTATTTTATAGTCAGTCTTTTTCTAACCGTTTCTGCAGTAACTACTCTTGCAAATGAAGACAGGTCGTGTGTGTGGACCGCGACGCAAGATACTTTAACTTGGGGAATGCAAATCTGTTACTAGACTGTCCTCTTGTTCAGTTCAGTGCCGTTGTCTCCTCCTCTCTCGCCGCCCCGCCCACAATAATCAGCCAGATGCCAGAATGTGCGTCTGTCACATCTCCGGAGGTGCCCGCGCCCCATGAGCCACAGACAGGCCACTTGCTGGCGGTCCTAACACTGCAAATGTGTAAGTGACAAGAAACGAGTGCGGACCAAGTGGGCATCCCACAGTCACTCCCACCACCGCGCTCCGAAACATCCTCCCTCCTGCCCGGAGGGATGTAAAAAGGGCTTCTGTTCAAGGGCTTCTGATTTTCTTTCCGCGGCAGGGATCCTCATCATGATGTCCCTGTGCGGCGAAGTGCACGTGTACGAGTACATCCCGTCCATCCGGCAGACGGAGCTGTGCCACTACCACGAGCTGTACTATGACGCGGCGTGCACGCTCGGCGCCTACCACCCGCTGCTCTATGAGAAGCTGCTGGTGCAGAGGCTGAACACCGGCGCCCAGGGCGACCTGCACCGCAAGGGAAAGGTGGTTCTGCCTGGGCTCCGGGCCGTGCGCTGCCCCGCGCCCAACCCCGCTGGTCCCCCATCTTGAAGAGGGGCTCTTGAGAATCGATGTGCAATAAGGTACTACTGTTGTCCTCGGAGTCACAGGAGAATACTTGAAGATGTATTTTAGGCGATGTAGTCTTCAGTCCTTTAGACTGTCACTTAGCGGTGGCCACGAGAATTCTTCTTTTTCTAAGCCATGGAGTATTTATGACTGCTTTGAATACAGGAATGGAATTTAAAAGGAAAAGAAGCTCAAGAAAGATGCAAAAAAAAAAAAAAAAAAAAAAAGCAAACGTATGACAAATGAGTAGTATACCTCCAGAAATGTTAACCTTTTCTTAAGCCGTGGGCACCCCTGTGAGGCTTGGTTTCCGCTACAGTTTTCAGTGATGTATTTGATATTACGAAATGGTTTAGACACATGTTGGGGTACAGTATCTGTAACACCTAGCGTGTCAGTCGCACATTTGTTCATTATTAAAGATCCTAGCGTTTATGACAAGCATCTGAATCAGCACTCAGATGTGTTTATCTTAACAATAAAATTCCCCCGTATATGTTGAGAGATGGCAAACTGTTGCTTGCTGGCAAACTGCGGCATTCCCTGCTCTATTTCCCATTGCCCGCCCAAGCTTTGCTCTTTGTGTATCAGGACAGATTTCTAAAACCAGAAAACACCCGTCTCGAGCAGTCCAAGGAAAAAGTCAACCCTGGGATAGCACTACAGAGGAGACACTTTGTTTTCCTGCAGTATTTTCTTACTTTGACAAATAAATACACAATCACCCGGCTGCAGGGTGGCCCAGGGCCAGAATAGTCCCAGCTTTTCTGCATGGTACATCCTCAGCTGCCAGTCCTCCTTACTGTTACACCCACGGACACTTGCGACCCCCTGCCGCCGTGGGGGAGGACCCCTTCGGGTCAGAAGGAGGGGATATGGAACCTTCATTCTGTGCTTCTGGGGATGCACACCTGTCTCTTTCATGGAGATTTCTTTCAGGCCAATAGCAGCTGCTGGAACCCCAGCAATGATGTACTAGATTTTCACCAATTCTCCCTGCAAATAGATATTGAGGAACCCTGTCCCTGTTTTCACAGATATATTTTATGTCAGCAACATACAAGCCATATAATTAAATAAAATTGTGTGAAAACATTGTTCTTTAACAAGGAAAATACGTATATGCTTGAGAAGCAAAGGCACCTGGGGGAAGAAGTTGTCACCCCAATATGTTAGCTATATTCAGATCTGTTTTATTTTGGTTTTAATCTCAACTTTTACCACTGATACATTGAAAAACAATTTTTTTTTTTGCTATAATGTAGTGAAACAGAAACATTTTGGAATACATTCATTGAACATGCTGTCTCTCTATGTAACCAAAACATAGCACAAGAGGTAAGACTTTTTTAATTAAATACATTCTCCCTTGCAAGTCTATGAATGTCAGGAGAGTTTAGTGGGAAAGTTTTTTTTTTTGTTCCAGGATTGGTTTTTTCCCTGAATGCTCTCAAAACTACTTTCTTGAGCAAGGAAGGTTTATGGAAATTGACAGCTTCTGTTTGGTGAGTCTAAATCCCCTGAAATCGGGTTGGGTGATGGGCATCTCTCTCCTATGGCTTATTATAACAGTGAAGTAGAGGACTAATAGAAAAATTTCAGTTATGACAGCATCCACTAGAAGCCCATTTTGAGAGCTTTCTTTCCAGGTCTATGAGAAGACATCGATCACTTTGTCCTACACATTTGCTTATGTGTAAGCTGATGTGGTCAAGCCGCTTTTCTCTCTGGTTTCCTGAAAGACCTTAGTCTTGTCCCCACGTGCAGTGAGTACGGAGTTCAGATTGTGAGGTTGCTCTGAGTACAGTGAGCCGTCCTTCCATGGCCTTGGTTCTCCCTAGACCTTCCAGCTCTGCCTTCAAATGTCCATGACACAGAAGTTCCTTTGATAGTCTTCCTGGTAGATTTCCTTCAGACCTTATTACCCCCGACAGCCCCCTTTGGTGATATAAGAGGCTGGTTAGAGAAAGATTCATTGGGGGTCACTATAAATATTCAAGTTCAAAAGCCGCAGAAAGTACTTCAAACACTTCAAAGATTTTTAAATAGCATTTTGTTGTAACGCATGTACTTTTAAAAGGTCCTTTCAGTCTCATTGACATTACAAGAAAGACTGAAGAGCATAAAGGAAATCCAATTAAAATTTTTGAATTTATTATGGCCTTAGAGACTCTTGGGAACCAGGGTCTGCTAAACATTCAGAAAATGTGGTACACATATTAATATAGTGTGACTGGGCATTCTTCTATTTGAAAGTTTAGTTTAGCCTCCCAAAAATATCAGGCAGTTAGAGTTAACATGACTGTGTCTAGTATTAGTTAAATTGGTCCTAAGTGCCAGTATTTTGCCAGACATTGATTAAGTCCTTCTAGGCTACATTTACTGAACTGCAGTAAGCACACAGCTCTTCCGTGGAGTAGTTAATGATAAACGCTGTCCTAGTACATTTCTTCCAGGCTCTGCCCCTCCCAAGACGCTCCAACTGCTTCTGGAAGGGATGCCCATATGATCTTTAAGGTGCAATCAGAATGCATTAGCTGTCCTCAAATAATTTCACAACCCCTTTTGTGATGGTTGTTGTTATAGCAAAGAAACGAATTTTGACCAAGAATGACAACTCACCTTTATCTAGGTTTTCACTTACTTGTTTCCCCAGTCCCTCTCCCAGGTATGCGAGTGGGGTTTAACAGATGTCCAACACTCACTGTCCACAGGGAATACCGGTGCTGGCCCTGTGTACCTGACCTTCCCCACTAAGTCCTTACAGGGCTGCTTTTATCAAGAACTTTGTGCAGAGGCCAAGAGAAGCTCCATTGAAAGTTGCATATATGCATCGTGCAACATCAAGGGCATGCATTAAGTTAAGCCATGTGAGCGACTTTTGCGCATGTTTTAATTACTGGGGCCTTCCTTTTTGCCTGGACGCAGAGCTCAGAGAGCCCTGCTTCAGTCATAGCCCTTCAAGCGTCTTGTGCCCTCCGTCTCTAAGCCAGACATTTAATCAATCCTGAACTCACCAGTAATCATCTGTCATTGTAGCCGTAGCGTCTGGACAAAGCGATGCTGAAATGATCATTAGCATTTACAAAATTGGGAAATAAAAGTAACTGTTTAAAACTACCACGGTGTTGCTCCATTACGTGTTTATGAGCCAGTTCATTCTGGTGGAACAGATTAATACCTTATGTTGCTGGCTGACCCTTCCGGGCCGGAGCACTTGCAGCCACTGAATTAATTAGGTCCTGTTTGGCTGCGTTAAGTGGGATCAGTCTCACGTGAGTAATGGCACACGATGGAGGTGTTCTCCGGGCACAAATGACATGATGAAAGTTCTCTCTCCAGCCTCTCTCAGAGATCAACACACAGCACGTGTCTGAGGCTGGTGGGCAAAGTGACCTGGTCCCATTTCTGTTTAGCTATAGGAAGAGACAGAGGAAGGGAGGGGGGAGTTATCAAGAAATCCATGACTGGCCAAGTAGTCTCTGTATTCTGTCGTATTGTCTGATTTGACTTCCTACTTTCTGATAGCTTAGAGCTCTCTACTCGGTTGTTAACAGCCCATGACGACAGCTGCGTTTAGAAATTAACTGCTTAGGTAAAACGTGCCTGAGTTCCAACTTGTTTTTTTATACTCTGGACATTTCCATTGTGAAAATACTCTGCATGTTCTTGTCACTTGGGCATTACTTACACAACTGGTAAACGAAAGGTATCACTCCAGGAATTCAAGGATAAGATGTAAGTTCTGATTTTTGTTTTATTAAGTGAATGAAGCCTTTTAGTAAGAAACAATAATCCAGCATATTCTTCTACAAGCTTGGAATGATAGAATTTAAAGAATTAAAGACATTGCTATAGTTCTTACTTTTGTTATGAAAGTGTGCATGTAGATATAGTTATATAATTGTATATATACATATCTACACACATGGTCAGTCTTATATTGTCTTTTTTCATCAAACTTGATTCCTGAGACCTTTACAATAAATTTTATTTTAATTATGCAATGCCAATTTTTTAATAGAAGAGAGCAAGTGTTATATGTCCTTCTATTAAAAAAATAAATGCCGTCTTCGCACACACTGATATTCTACACACCCTGGGCGTGTTTGAAAATATGGCAGAAAATTTTTTAAATGGCAGAAATATTTAAAAGGCACTATGTAGGTAGAACCACTACCGAACATCGTGACCTCATCGGAAACCTAATGGAACATTGAACATTGATGAGAAGGTTACTTATTATAGCTCAAGGCTTTTACAAAGATGGGGGGAAAACTGAATATTGGTTCTGTGGAAAACAGTCTTCTTACCAGGTAGGTTTCAAACAAATTAACTGTGCTGGTAATGCTAAAATCCTAACATTTATGATACCATACATCCTGTTGTACGCTCGCTAAAATACTTACGAAATTTTCCCGGTGGGAACCAGTGAACTTTTTTAACAGCTTTGGGAATTTTTTTGTATGATAATTTTTAAACTGAAATGTGTACTCTTCAAATTAATTAAGGCCTGAGCTTTTTCCAGGAGTCACATTTGAAAAAAAGTGTTTGTATACATTTTAACACCTTTGATATTTTCTATTTTGGTTTTGTATATTTTTATGTATACACAGTGTACAGACTTTTTTCTTGTAAATAAAAACATGTTTGCATTTGTCTAGACGTTTCTCTGTTTTCATTTGTAAAAGTTGCGGATAAAAATGAGTGAGGGGCAGAAGAAAGAGCCATCCCTAGGAGAACACGGCAAAAAGCCGAAAGCTAATTAGAAAATTGCAAACGGGGTACCAGCAGCAGGCCCTGGAACTGTGAGTAGGGACACCGCCTGGGCCGAGACCAGGGGCAGGCTCTGTCTTCTTCACCCAAGAGCTCACTGCCAAATAGGAAGATCTACAGTGGCAAGAACAATGAGGATTTTCTTAGACGACCACATCTGGATGTCGAGTTAGTAGCCCAGCATTTTGGTTAATGGATTGCCTCGGGAGACCCATCCCCAGCTGGCCAGGGCTTTGGGTCTTAGAAAATATGCCTAAGTTATCAGAGGAAGGCCTCGGGCTGGAGAGATCACGTTAAGCTGCCTCCATGTCCCATCCGCCGTGGGGAATCTTCATGCTGGCTATGGAGGGAAAATCGGTTCATTAGGCTGCTCGAAAGAAGTTCCCGGTCATTTGTGCTTTCTGGGCACAGTGCAAAGGAAGCCTTGAAGGGAGGCACT